AGTCACAAAAGTCATGTATACTGTAAAATACTTTATTTTCACTGCAATTTATTTTTGCTGAAAACGATTTTTAGGTTGTTATATGGAATTTATTTTCACTGATTTTTGGCGAGTTGAATGTAAAAGATAGGAAAAAAGGTATATTCGCTGGATTTTATTTTCACTGAATCATTCCTTCAGCGAAAATAGCGAAAATTAATTCCAAGCGAAAATAAAGTATTCCATAGTATCTGGTGAGTTGAATGTTTGCAGTATAAATTACACTGCACGGCAGATTAAACTTGTACCTACCTGACTCATAAGATGATCTTCATTATCAACATCCATATCAACAACTTCACTAAAATCATTCAAATTGGGACCAGCAAAATAACTAAGTGGAGCACTTTCTGTAGAAACATCCATCTGGCTATCGGACTCGGAATCTCTTTTATCGTTTTTATTCACTTCATTGGATTCCTTTCTTATACATGTAGATGATACGACAACAGGCGTAGACTCACTTTTTTCCACAACACTGCTTGGCTTCTTTTCTTGAAATGTTGAGTCTGGAGATACACATGTTCTACTTCTTTCCCTGGACTTTGGGGTTTTGCATTCAGAAATCATGATTGGTTTCACATCACAAACCACACGTTTTTTAATAGCACTCTTTTCAAATGCATGACTATGTTTCTCTATATTAGGCATTTGAGCCTTCTTTGGACTCTTTACAGCATCGCTGCTTTTATTGTTATTTATCTGATCTGAACGAGTAATTGAACTATCTACACTTGTAGTGTTTGATCTTCTTGAAGGTTTCAAATTTTTGGATGTAATCAGTTTATTTCTTTTATCCTGACTTGCAAATCTTTCTGAAGTATGTAACTGTACAATGGTTTCATTCATGCTACAATGTTTTAGTTTTTTGCTTTGTATAATTTCCTGAGTTTTTGCATCTGGTTTTGTGTGACTGTCTTTCATACACTTGTCAGTACTTGTAGCGCGATATACCGGTATACTTGTGTTTCTACTTAATGTCACTTTCTTCTGGAAGTCCGCTGAATCTGATCGTTTCTTTTTTCTTTTCCATGCACGCTTCTTTTTCTTTTTTGGACTATTTTCTGCAGTTATGTTGGTCGCACAAGCATCTGGAGGAGATTGGCAAATTGAGGGATAAAATTCACTGGTGCTGAAAGTAGGATTTATTTCATGCTTACTTCGGCTGGCTGTTGAGTTGTCTCTATGGCAGATTGAAGAATCAGGCTTGTTCTGACGTCTCCTGGGATCTAGACTACTTACTGCTTCATTATTTCTCACCGTGGAATGAGACGAATAATGTTTGACAGGTATTACTGCAGTTTCTTGTGAAAGGCGTTTTATTTTGTAAGAATCGTTTGAAACAGGTTTGACTGAAATTGTATCTTTCTGTAATTCAGCCTCGGCAGTTCTTAGCTTCTTACTTTTAACAGGTGGACTGACTGGATGGACAAATTGTGAACTACGAGGGTTGTTACTTACATAGCCCTGAGAAGTTGCCTGAGGTAAATCATAAGTTAACTGAGAATTGTCACATGACTTTCTTTTGCGCTTTGCGTTGGTTGCATCATATTGTTGTTTATTCACTTTAAATTTGTCCTTGAACTTGGCAGATTCTAGACCACTCAAAGAATTAATTTTAAAATCTTGGGAGTCAGACTTTTTCTTGAACTCAGGAGAGCCTAGACCACTCAACCATTCTGTTATTTGACTCGCTTTATTCCTCACAGGCGGGGTTCTACTGAAAAGAAGTTCTCCAACAGTTGTGGAACTTGTTGATTCCCATGATTTATCTTCAAATCCAGGAGACTTGTCAAACTGTGATGATTTTTTCAACTCAGATGATGTGTCTGAGTGGCTTTTTTTCTTCTTCTTTTTGCGCTATTGAAAATGAAAAATATAACACAAGTGAAACAAAATATTGTGATAAATTGTTCACTCTTATTAATTAAGTTGATGACTTTGATTGATGCATCTAACAAGTGAAAATGAGAACAATTTGAAAAATACTACAAATTTTTAATATTTTGCAGAGCTTCTATAAAATGAACAAAAAAAAAGGCAAATAAAATGACGGGATATCTGAACTTTAAAATGATTGTGATTTCTGTGGGGATTTCAGCAGGCAACAAGATAATATTCTTTTACTCTAGTGGCCTTTATTGATTTTAAAATAGGTCAAAACACCCAAAACTGTGGTAGACAACGCGAACTTTCAAATAGCTACATGAACTAATTTGGGAAAATTTCCACGTGTGTTTGTCGCGTCCATCCTAAAACTAACCAAATTGAAATTTATGAATTTATTTTAGGTAATATTTAGGCAGATTAGATTTAGATATGTGACAGTTCTGAAAGCCAACTTTATGTTAGCTCAGTGATAGGTTATGCTTTGACTATAGTGTATCTGAACTGTACCTTAGTTCCATCCTGGTTTGGGGGCTCCCAACTTTTTTCACCATTAATTATATTAAAGTAGTATACACGATCAGGATTTTTTTTAACAGATTTACAAACAATCCATCCTTCAGGAAGATTCAAAGAATTCTCTGACAAATTATCATCCAACATTGTAGTTCCTACAATAAATAATATTTGTAATACATTATAAATTTATTAACTGTTTCAACTTCAACATGTCTCAATAAAAAGTATGATATATTAAAAGTAGGCTTCTTTCTAAATTTTTTTTTATTGTTCAAGGGTGGTGGTCCTCGTGCCACGCATGTGCGACATTTGTGTAATAAACAGTGATTTTCCTACAATCCAATGCACTTTTTTAATGGAAATCATGAATATGTGTTTTGACCAAGGCACAACATACACTAATTACCACCAGTGACTGTTTCAATACCTTCAAATCACCAAAGAAAGATAAAGCTTAGTAACATCTCAGTTTATACTCACTGATCTGCGCAACAGTCAAAGTTGCATCTTTGTTGATATGATCGAGTCCATATCTCGCGCATTCATGGTGCGACGACCACCGCCCTTTGATTTTGAACCAAATAGACGTAATTTTTTATTATCAACAGGTAAATTGTAAAACAAATGTGAGGGTTTTAATTTGTGGAAGCAAACAAGTTGACTACATGTGTTTAAAAGGTTAAAGCGAGAGGGTCGTCACATGCGCATGAGTCCCAAGTGACGATAACAACACACACTATAAACGTAAAGGCTCATGGGTAGACGCTTGTTTGTAAACAATGACACGCTATAGACATCTGACGCATACGCAGGTGACAACTCCCCTGCTTTAACTCATGCAATACAAGTAGTGAAAATTATTAGTAGATAAATATAAATATGTTGTGCTTGTAATGCACAAGTTATGAGTAAATTCATAAAAATAAATACGCTATCTTAAAGTGACAATTAATAGCTGTGATTTTGACAATTTTTTATTTGAATATACCGGTAAATAACATAAAGATGACCAAATCTTACCGAAATACTATTTTAGGCAAAATTGTATGAATGCCGCAACCATACACAAGGTTAATGTCATATAAAATAAAATATGAAAAACTAAATGTTGAAATCGGTCACACGATGGGGACTTATAATAAAATTATAGCGCATAACGCACATTATTATGGAAAATATGACACCTAAAATCATCAACAAGTTACTGTCAGAGAGGCTTACTAAATAAATGTTTCACTAATGTAATTATAAAGTTAATTTAAAGCATAATTCTATTTTAAGTTTAGTAAAACAATTGCCATTACTCTGTAATAAAACTACTTCTTGGAAAATGCATGTGTCAGGATGAATGGCCGAAAGTGAATGAATATAAAATCAAGCATTTAAACAGCGCCACCTTTGTATCGTTGTCGAGCACTATTTCCACACTAACAAATATTCGCTGGCTGTAAACATGGTGTGAGTATACATTTGAAGAAAGCATTGGGGTGAGAGCCGATGAGGGTGTTCAACATTTGCGACATTATGATGCCAATTCGTCGTGTTCTCAGTTAGTTTCCCGGGACCCCAGGAATGCCAGTGCATTCCCGTTTAGTACAGACAATTTCTACACATTCCACCAATTACGCTTATTCGCAAATAGTAGTTGTAATTTTAAAAACATACACACATTATACATACAGTGTTAGCAGCTCAACTTGTTATAAATCAACAGCAATGTCAACATCCCGTCCCTCTGTTTAAAAAATACTGTTTTCCGGTCCATAATTCAAGAGCGGTCTTCAAAACATTGGCCGACGCAGTTGTTTGAAAATATAATAGCTTAGGTGGTACTGGTATGACCTGTTTATATTATATTTACGTAAATACACCATTTCATAAAATACCTTCAGTGTATTTTAGAATATTATTTATAAATTACAAATATGCAGTTAATATTCTTGTTTTAATTTTACTATGAAAGTTTTAAAAAATCGACATTAGCAGCCCCTTGCACATATTCTTCGAGTTAGGGGGCTTCAAAATGGCAGATGGAGGTGGGAGTCATGTTTATGAGGTAGGAGGGGTCGGGAATTTTGGGAGTTTGTGAGTATGTTGTGAACTTGATGTGGTTGTATTGTGTGGGGACTTAGAGGCAAGCAAATGTGCTGCAACGGAATCGATTGTCTTCCGTCGTTCGTCGTCGTGCGATGGCATTTTCGTTTTAAATTGACTATCAGCTGTGTTTTATTTATTTTGTTTTCTGTGTACAATTTCAATGACCGGGCCGCGTCTCGGTTGGAGGATTTCCTTTATGCTCGAAGGACACGTCGAGGTGAATCTATTGTAAACATTCCGTCGCATGTATACGCATTATACATTTCACATTCTACATTTTGCAGGGGTGGCTAGAGAAATCTACCGATGCCACCAAACAAAAAGGTTTGCTCTCCCTTAAGAAATCAAGTTCAAGTTGGAAAAAGTTATATTTTGTTCTCCAGAAAGAACGCGACAAGACTGAGAATAAAGAGTACAGTGTTCTCATTCATTACGAAAAGAAACCAGTGAAACCAGAAAATGCAAACAGATTCAAAGGTTTGGGTTTACTTTGATTTTACAATTGTTTGTGTGTGTGTAGGGTTTTTTTTTTTTTTAGTTACGACAAAGGACATTTTTTTTCGGAAGTCAATGATGAAGGCTTCGACGAATATTGAATCAGTTTTCTGTCTGTTTCTGTTAGTATTATTATTTTTACAGTGAGGTGCGAATAGTGAATCTAATGTAAAATACTTTATTTTAGCTGGAATTAATTTTTGCTGAATATACGTTTCAGGTGTTTTGTATGGAATTTATTTTCTCTGATTTTTGACGAGTTGAAAGTAAAATATAGGAAAATAGATATTCGCTGGATTTTATTTCCACTGAATCATTCTTTCAACGAAAATAGCAAAAATAAAGTATTCCACAGTATTTATTTTATTTGCTTTGTTGCAGTGTGAATATATTTATTTATTTATTTATTTATTTATTTATTTATTTATTTATTTATTTATTTATTTATTTATTTATTTATTTATTTATTTATTTATTTATTTATTTATTTATTTATGTACTAGTATTTATTTATTTATTTATTCACTCAACATCCATTGAAATAGATACATAATGATAATGGATACAAGTGCAATGCACAAAGATGAGTCAAAAAAGTTACATGACATAGCAAAGAAAAGAACTCAGAAAAAACATGAAAAAGTGTAAATTACAGAAAATACTAGAAATTGGAAGTTAAAAATATAGATGTTGCTAGATGTTCAAAATACATTGGCAAATATTGGCTTTAAGGAATTAACAGATATTTCTCAAGGTAACAAGATTTTTAACAAGTGTTAATAAGTAAAGTTTGTTGTCATTGTTTATGTTTGCTTTTGTAAATAGAATGTTTCTGTGTTTGGCATATAAACGGGCAACCATCATAAAATGTTGCTCATCTTCTATCTGATTTGTGTCACAGAGAAGACATGCCCTTTCATTTGGGTATTGTCAAGGATTTTAAAAGGGTATGGAAATGGTTTGATATGCTATAAAGATCTTGTATGAAACGTATAGCAGTCATGTCAATGCTTGACACTAAGGGGAGTCTGATTGTCCAAAATGAAAACACATTGGATTGAATTAATGCATATGTGGAACTCCCCAGATAATGAGATTAGTTTTCAAAGCATATCAACAATACATAGATACCAGAGTTGCATACCCTTGTCTTGTAAATCCTTGTTATCTGTTGTGTAATAACTGTGTACTATTACTTTTACCTGTAAGCATTGCCATTCCCTCCCGAGAGTGAGTATGTGTAAATAAATTAATTCATGAATGAATGAATGAATGAATGAATGAATGAATAAATATATATATAAATTAAAAAGCGTGAAATTTTAGTAAGTCACACCATAGACCCTGCAGACAAAGTAGGCTACAACCATTAAATTAGTCACTTGATTAACCAAAGACAATACTGTAGCTACCCAATTAGCCAAACAAAATGGAGAAGTGAAATTTCTGTTCTATTGTTTTGTTTTTTCGCATTTTGTAAACTGACAGTTGAAGTATAACACAAATTTCCAAATTAAACGCCACCTAAACAATCTTGGTGAGCACACATGCTTATTTCCTCGTGCTTACAGGATGTAACTGAAGTGTTATTTGATCATTTCCAGATTTAGTATCTGCGCATGTAACATCATTGTACAAGTACTGTAAAATACTTTGTTTTAGCTGGAATTAATATTCGCTGAAAAGGCATTTTCAATTTGAGTGTTTTGTACAGAATATATTTTCACTGATTTTTGATGAGTTGCATGTGAAATGAATAAAAAAATAAATTCCAAGCAAAAATAATGTATTCTACAATAGTTCATTAGAGATTAACCCATAGTTCACCCAAAGTACCTTAAGTGGATTATCTTCTTTTAGTTAAATAACCTGTAAAAACATGATTCCCATAATTTTTATATGAGTGGTCAGTCAGATGTAGGCATTGCTACCAATGACCAGAATTGAGCGACTGGAGCTTTGTACCAACTTGGATTTTATTACTAAATATCTACATCTTTCATCAACAATTGTATTTTTGTTGAAAGCCATGAACATGATTGCTTTGATATTCAATGGATTTTTGGATTTAGTCACGTTTCTCGTTAATTTTCTTCCAAATGAAATGATTTTTCATCATAATTTTAGACATAGTGTTCAATAAATGGAAGTTGTTGTTCTCTTTTACATTTCAGGTAAAACCAAACTTTGGCCCCACTACAAGATAGAAAAGTGTTTTGGTGTAAAAGGCAAGCACTATGTCTTTGCTATCACAACACCAGATGAGAAGTTGCGCCTCAATGCAGAAAATGAAATCAATCTTGATCTGTGGGTGTTTTATTTACAGATGCAAACTAAGCTACGTGTAGATCTTCCAGGCAAGTTTGAAATATGACGCCATCTTTATTATGTTACTGGTAAATAAAATGTAAATTCAAAATGTAAATGGATTCTAATTCTGAACCATAAATCTAATTTCTTTCACTAAAATAATCAGTATGCCTTCTAAGTTACACGTAATATGATGAGTTACTGTCAGACCGTTTTTTTTTTAATTAATTTATTCCATAGTTATGCTAACCCCCTGGCACGTCATTGATACATCAGAAAAATCATACATTTATCTATTGATTTTGAAAAAACTTACTATTAATAGTTATAGAATTTGCAATTTGGTAAAAAGAAATTCACATTTTATAAGTATAAAAATGAAGGAAAGGCCACAACATTTTAGTTTGTGCATTCATACCGTCACATAACATTTTTATTTTGTTTCTTGAAAAATTTGTTCTCAAACAGTAACCAAGCTGACCAAGTTGGTATTCCACTCACGAACTCCACAAAATCATTTCAGTTAGAGGGCACACAGGCAGTTATTGTATCGAGCAGCAGAGGTCAATACAATCCTTCACCCTCAAGGATGTCTGTACTCCAAAAATAGAGAACAGTGTCCTCTCTACTGCTCCGGACAATTGTTGAAGTGACAGTTAACTTCATGTATAACCACACTTTTTAGTAAAACACAGAGACTAAATTCTCTTATCCTTCTCCAGGGTCATGTTTTATTGTCACAGCAACAGAGACGGATGATCATAGAAAAATTGGTACATTGGGAGCTAAGTGCTTATTGCATCTATCACCATGGGGTGTTACTCTGGCTCTGCAGGTCAGTCGATATACCAGAGATATTATATTAATTTGGGTTTAGAATTAGGAGTTTAAGTAATTCAAGGAAATTTGTATTCGTTCCAAGCCCCAGTCACCAAGCATTGGCTGATTGGCAAACGAATGAGTTTGTATCTCATCACATTTGGTTTTCTTGTAATGTGCTTCAGTGAGTGAAGTTAACAGTCACTGATTGTCCTTGCTGGTTGCCATAGAGACAATGGGGAATCACATTTTTACATCATATTATCATACATGTAGTACTGTATGGGAAATGCATCTCCAATAGAAGCACTCATAAACCGAAAATTGCATTTATCTGGGTAGAAAAGATATTGCATTGTTAGTTTCTATCCATCCATTTGTTTTTAAACCCTTATTCTACCAGCCCCATGTACTTTTACATTGACTTGAACAGTTAATCTAGATTCTCAGTGAACAAAGTTGTAATAGTTATGCTATGTTTTACGTATTTATGATGACATTTTTGTTCTTGTCTGTTTTTGGTCATAATTGTTCACATCTAAATTTAAGTTAGTATTTTTCATGCAAAATGTTTAGATATATTATTTCATTGATTACAGTACTTTTTTTTTTACTCATTTTGCCATTAGTGTCATCTATCCATCAATATTTTGATTAAAGTAGAAGCCTACTCATGAATACCCAGAATAAACCGTAAGAATATTGACCTAAAAATAGTTGAATGTCACCAGCTCAATCTTCAAGAAAACCATGGTTGTATTCAGTGGATAGTGGCCATTTTGGCAGTATTATATTGATTTTACTATAGGTTCTTATGGCAGAGACATTATGCCACATCTCACATTGTAGGCTGATGACATCATAGGCTGAAAAATACTACTAGTATTAAATTGTTAATGACTTTTTGTTTTCCTGAATTATTTCAAAAATCTTGGTTTTAAAAAGTGACAAAAAATGCTCTATGGAGTTGTTTTAAAAATCATGATTTTTGAAAAATATTATGACAAGTTTCTCAAAATACGTCACTGTAACACAGAGAAAACAATGCTATTTTATGGTGCCATGGGACAATAGATTCATGATTTTACATAATAAACAGATAACATTGTCATGCGATTTATGACCAACTTTTTCAAAAATGATGAGTGGGCTTCTACCTTAAAATATCTTAAAACAGTCCTAAATGAATTGGCAGAATTTGTATCCACCAAAAATTGGCTTATTTTATAAAAGGTGGCATAAGTTGTCAACGATATTAAACAAAAAAAACTGTGTTTTTTTATGTCATCATTCTAGTGGCAAGGATCACTTCAATCTGTTTTGTTTGTTTTTGTTTATTCAACCTCAGATACGTTACTCCTATTATCAGAGTTCTCTCTGGATTGAAAATTGATTGTACTTAAACTAATAATAAAATCACTGTTTTGTCATGAAATTGCAGCCTACAATCTATTTTTTTTTCAGCAAGAGCTTATTAGGTCAACTAAAAACAATTGTCAGTCTTTATAATCCTTTCTTGTAGAGTTACATTCTGTAAACCACTTTACTTTTGAGAGAAACAAATTTTCTTGATTCAGTGAAAATTGCTAAATATTGTAGCAGTGAAAATTTGCAATTGACTTTTTGAAATTTTATTATCACAAATAAAACTCTGATAAAAATCTGATTTTATTGACACATTGTCTGCTGAAAGTCTCCAATGATTAAAACTCACTGTTAATTAAAGTTCAAGTTAGAAAATTTGAAAATTAAACAAAACAAAAAATATATGTTGCCCGTAACTGTTATTTAAAGTGGGGGTGTCGTCACCTGTGTATGCGTCAGATGGCCATAGCATGCCAGTGTTTACAAACAAACGTCTACCCATGAGCCTTTGCGTTTTTAGCATGTGTTGTTATCATTGCTTGGGACTCAAATCCCGCGCGTGCACAGGTGACTACCCTCCCGCTTTAATGTTCGAGTTACTGAATGTGGATGTTCAACAAAAACCAAAATGTATGTTGCCCGTAACTCAAAGTTCTCTTAACTGTTAATTGATCATTGAGTTACAATTTGGGCGTGGTTTCACAATGGTAGGCATGGTTTTAAAAATATGAGTGTGGTTATTTCTGTAACTCAATGTTTTTGTAACTCAATGTTCGTAACTCGATGTCTGTAACTCGAACAATTTATCATCTCACCATTAATAGTCGCATATCGCCGATATCTAAAAAGGCTCCTGCAGGTGTGTTAAAGGGCGGCAGTCGTCGTGTCCCACCGCGTCCTGTTCGATATGGGACTCGTAGCAATGTATACAACGTGTGTAAAATACATTGTTTATTTACATGAAATTCGAACACGCGCTTAGCGACGACCACCGCACTTTAACATTGGATTACCACAAGTAAGTTTTGTTAATATCAGAATTCTAGATGTCTGGTTGGTCAGTGGCCGCTGAAGTGTGTCAGATCGTTTGAAAGTTCTGATGATGGTAGATTCAACTTTGAAGCTGGGCGTTCATCACCGATGGGAGAAGGAGACTATCAATTCCTAACTCTGCCTTCCGAAGATAACTTCATGTTTGATTTACTGGATCAGTTCACTGCTCAGTCGAACAAAAATCTGAAGGTAAACATTTCATTTTGATTTACAAGTTAAAATTGTATCTAAGGTGTTGACCATAAGAAACTTTAAAAACAGGAGAGTTGAACTACTGTGCTACCAGGGTTTTTCCTTCACCTAATTTTGAGCTAGAAATTGTTTAACTCAAGTATGATTCTGAAATTTTTTTTTGCTCTCTGGGATGTATGTGTGGGATTTTTTAGTCCCCGTTCGGATGAAGTCCGAAAACGAGGACTTATAATTCGGTC